ATGTAGGGCATCTTAATCCGGACCGAATCATAGCCAACAACATTGAAAACGAGAATATCGGTTGGAAACCGAATACTTATCGATCGATAGTTAGGGGATCCCCCAAAACAGAAACTGCAGTTTCGATTCATCCGCTCGTGTAACTTGCGCACTGCGCATCGCACACACACACTCGGCGGGTCTCAAAATTCTCTCGCTTTACAAAAATCTAGATCACTTAATCAATAATTGATTGATAACTCGCTAATTATACGACATAATTCGCCCAAAATCAATAGGGGTCCGAGATAAGATGAATGCACATGCAAAATCTGGAGCAGATTCAATCTCGCTTTCGAGATATCGCGTGCATCTAACAGACACACACACACACAGACAGACATACATACAAATACCTATCAATATACTTACCGATCTTAAGATCGATAAGTAACAAATCTGTGTTGTTGACTGTGATTTGTGGCAAGTCAGCAATCTGGCAATATAGAAACTCCATAAAATATGATGGTATTTATGGGATGCAATGCAATTTGAGAGCAGTTTTTAAATGTAAAGTATTGGGGTGCATGGATTTGATGGACAGTGGATGCAGAAATGATATTATGCAAGATCAACACATTGATGAGGTTTTAAATAAATCCATCATGCTATTATATCAAGTTTCCAATGCAACCACTGGCCATCTCATGACAATATGTAACAGATTTTATGTATCAGATTACCGTATTTACTAATTTGTGTAAAATGATTACATAGATGGAAAATGTAGAAATCACCTATGGCATGATTCTAATTCTTCAAAAATTTTGTTTTTTTTAAAATAAAATGCTAATGATGGGTTAATTAATATTATATTATATATTATAACTGATGATAATGGGAAAATTATGTCTCAACTTCATGCACAAATGGACATACTGACATATGGAATTAAATGGTAAATGTATCTGGTCTGAATTATTTAATATTTGTCTTATCTTTTCATTGTATACTTATTCATTGTATGAAATCACCTAAATTACATCACAAAAATAAAATTTGGACCCATGCAATAATATTGAAATATATATTTGGATACACCAAAACTATCATTTGTATAAATCCGATTTGGCAATGGATTTGAATTTGGCAAAAAAAAAAAAGTTGCTGGCGGACAGACAGAAATATACTAGTTAAATTATTGAAAAAAATCTGGATTTAGAAAAAACCTCATAAATTGGATAATCACCCTATATAAAAATGCTTCTTCAAAAATAAATGTGAATGGATATTTGACAGAAAAAATTTGGATGCAAAGAGGTGTGAGGCAGGGCTGTCCCCTATCTCCATTGTTATATTCATTTCAGAATTAATATCATCAAATATAACAAGGGACAGAGAAATAACTGGATTGAAGAACTGCATAAATCAAAGAGAAGTTTATAAAGGATTTGCAGATGACATAACACTGACCCTTGAGTCATTGTCATCTGTAGATTCAGTGTTAAAATTAATGGGATTATTTCGACGTGGCACTGGTCCTAAAATAAATAACAACAAATGTACATTGCTGATATGTGGAACTGCTCGAAGTTGGCAGTTGAATGAAACATATAGGGGTATAACTGTAAAACGTGAGGAGATTAAATTACTAGGGTATATATTGGAAATACCCATAGTCTAGAGATAAAAACTAACTGGTTGAACATTTTGGCAAAAATACAAAAAATTGTAAATCTTTGGAAAGGGCGGAATCTAACTATTGTTGGAAGAGTTCTTATAGCTAAAACATTGCTACTATCAAAATTATGGTACATGGTCAGTTTTGAATTTATGCCAGAAAAATATATTCAGAAATTGGAAGTAATTATTTGGAAATTTATTTGGAATGAAAAAGCGCAAATGATCAGTAGGAATATCAGTTGTAGTGAACAAAATGAAGAGGATATAAAAATGATGAACGTTAGGAATCAAAATAAAGCATTGCAAATTGCTTCAGGGGGATATGAGTTCTTGGGCTAATAGAGCAAAATTTATGTGAATAAGTATTTTGAAGTGTTGTCAAAAGGTAATTTAGAATGTTTACATTTGAATTTTAAATTCGAAACTAATATCAATGTTCCAAAATTTATACCAGTATTATTAACTCATTCAAACAAGTTAGCTTAGAATGGAATCAGCCACAAAACTATGCAGAAATATCACAGGAAATTATTTGGCACAATCCATTAATCTTAGATAGGAATAAAACTGAACTCACTGCAATATTAAGCTGTGTCCAAGCAAAAATAATGACAGTTGGTGATATACTTGACAAAACGCTTGATAGCCTATTCAAAATAATTTATCCGCAATTACAAAATATTACAATGAGTACGTTTAGGAGAAGTAGTTTATTAATTGGCTTTTGCAAAGAAAGAAAAAACGGTGCATTTTTGACCAATCACAATGAATATATTAAAAATAAGTTTCAACTAACCAAGTCCATTAATTGAAACAAATATGAAAAATCAACATAGGAAATAGGCATAAGGAGTTGTGTTGGAGGGTTATTCATAATGGACTGCCAACAGAGGATAAAATAAAACACTGGTTCATTAATGAACCAGGTATATGTTTAATGTGTGAAGATAATACTGAGGAATCGTTATGTCATTTATTTTTAGAGTGTGAGTGAACCATAGATTTTAGCAATGGTGTTGCATACAAAATATTCAGAATACTATTTTAGCAAGTTATTCGTAGTGCAAATCTAAATTAATTACAACAATATGCGGAAAATCAACAATTTGGGAATATCGAAATTCAGTAAAATATGATGCAATAGTTAAAAGTAAAAGTAGTATGCGGTCAATATTCAAATGCAAACTGATAAGAATTTTAAATTTATTAAAAACAAGTGAAAGAGATGATTTGTTACTTATGAACACATGGATGATCTCATTCTTAGATCAATCATGATGTGACATTTTCTATGCAACACCAACTTAAATGCAGATTAAATGAAAATATTTAAATGTCTGAATTTTAATGAATAGAAATGTGCCAAAAACCCACTTTGGTTGTCTTCTGATTTTCTGTCTTTTTTTTAAATTTCCATGCAAAATTAACTAATTAATTAATGATAAATATAAAATGTGTGCACGAATTGGGTGATGACTGTATAATATGGTTTAACGTATTTTTATTTTAATCGTCACTTATTTATTTGTTACTTACCTTATTTGAACTTGTGGGGAATGTGTTTGAGATTATAAAACTGTTTAATTAAAAAAAAAACTGAGGCAACTAATTTGACACTAAAATCTCTATACGAAAATTCCGTTTCCCATTGGAATTTATTTGGCAAAAAAAAAAAAAAATTTAACTTTGTCCTTGAGTTCTGCTCGTCCTCAGCAACAGGGTGATAACTTTTTGTGGCTTTGGAGCCAGGCCACTCAAAATGGACCAGGCCACAGATAAAATGGGGTTAGGCCACGTACAAAATGGGGCCAGACCACGGAGAAGTTGGGGCCAGGCCACAAAATATTTTGGGCCAGGCCAGCGCATTCTTATTATTTTCATCTTGTACAGATGTACTGGTACCCGTATTTGTTTAGTTATATTTGTTTATAGGTAATGTGTAAACTGGTAATGTTACGACATGTACGGTACCTGTACAATTGAACCGTATGCAGGTATGTTACAACCCGGTAAAATGATGTATTCGAACACTTACTCATTACAAATGTTTGAATGTATTACTTATGTGAGGGAGTTATATTGCTTGCTAGTTTAATTGTGAAAATTGGATAAAGGAGTTAACTTATATTATATTTATTGCTGGCCTGATCACTGATCTGCTGATGCAGACCGTAAAGTGCAAGATTGCAGCTGAAAATACGGTTACAAATGAAAGCTTTTCTGTCATTGTGTTTGTTGTTTTAAAATTAATTTTTGAAGCCGGTATCGAACTAATAGTAAAATACTTCCGTACTGGATATATATATGCTGATATCCAATAGGGTAAGGTGGGGCACGTTGGGACATGGGGCACAGTGGAAAATCAGCTCTCACACTGATACTATATCCGGAATCCTGTCCACGGTTCGATGTTTCAATCCGCCCTTTGGAGCGTTACAACATCCCCGCGAACGGACAACGGACGGGTAGAGCGGCGCAGGCTATGGGGTGAAAGTCGTTTTGGAGGTTGAAACTAAAATTTCATCATCCCAGTTTTTTCATTTTTCTACTTTAGCCTTTCCAACATGACAAACCACCGTCAGATATTTTTCAGCTATAGTGCATTGTAAAATATTCATAACGTTGTCGAGTGGATGTGCTTTCCGAATTTCGCCGTGGGATGGTCTGAAAATATTTGTTTCCTATGGGGAACAATGGACCGGGGTTCAGTGGGACATGCCCTACAGGGCACAATTCGACAGTGTTTGATACAATAAGTGCCTAGAGACCTAGAGATGCGGTATATTTTGTGTAATATTAAGGTTTCTCTAGACCCATGGCCCAATATGGAATATATTCGAGAATCAATAATATTTCCAGATTTAGATTCGAGGAAGGAAATAATCAAATTTGTTTGCGAAATTTTTTGTTAAAATATCTGAAGTATTTCAGTTGATTTTAAAAATATTAAATCTTCAAATTTGAAGTCTTCCTGTTCTTTAGACGATTATGCTGATTAATTGCTTATTTTTAAGGGCATACTTAGTTGAATTTCGACAGACTGACCCATTGTGCCCCAGGGTCTGTCCGAATGTGCCCCACAAGTGGGGTACAGTGGGACACTTGACAGACGTTTTTCAAAGCATTTGAAAGTGTGTCGCAAGAGAATTTCTTAGTCGCTGAATGAAAACTACATTTACCCCTCTATGCATTAGTCCCGCAAACTTAGGTGAATATGCAGAATTAACGGCTCAAAATATGCAAAAGAAAAAAAGTTTCCCAACCTTCCCCACTTTCCCCTACTTCAATTTGTTTCAGTGTTGGTATTTTACGTAAAGTTATACATTCTAATATTTTAATTTGTTGTGCCGATACACCTGCATCACTGTCAGGTTGGTTGGATGCAAATTATGAAGTTTGGACATGGAATATAATGGAGCATTCGAAGGGTCCAAGTCAGAAATTCTAGAGAAGTTGTCGAGTGGAAGTGAATGTCCTCTTCGTCATCCTAAAACTGAGATTGTGCATTTGGGGAAGCATTTAGAAGTAATGCATTTAAATAATGCCATTTCATTTTTAAAACAGTCAGTTAGCGAGTTTTATAAATTTTAATTTGTTTGTAATACTGAACACCAACTAACTTATTTTCGTTTTTTTTTTCAGTGTTTATCTTGCCATGTCGCCGGGAATGTTTTGCATTGTTTCGCAAAAGTGAGTCAGAAAAAAAGGAAGCATTTTCACTGTCCCTACTGCCCTAAAATGTACGAAAGAAGTGCTCATTTAAAAAGTCACTTATCCTCTCAAAGAGGTAATATATGTATATCAAATGGAATATTTCTATTTTCATTAGAATCAAATTTTGGTGATATATTTAGTAATAAGTTGGTATAAGACTGGAGTTGAATTGCAAGTTACTTCAAAAATACATCCCTTATCTATTACAAAATCATTGACAATGTTATACTCAGCCTCATAACGTTATTATATTTATAACCGTGAATTATTCATGCTGATATTTAAATTGAGGAAAATGCTGTAGTCAAAAATTGGAATGTAATCAAAAAGCGGCGTGAAAAGCGATGGAATCAAAAAAAAAGGAGGTTGAAAATACATTGTTTTCGGTCATACCGGAACAGTATGGTCGTGCGAAAAAAAGAAGAAAATTGAATATGGTGATTCATTTATATTTGGCATTTGTTTTTCAAGTTGCTAGTTGAATAGTAATCAAGCTGTTATATTAGACTTCAAAAACTGTATTGGAGATTATATTTTTTACGTAATAGAATTTGTTTTGAGACTCTAAATTATATTATAACCTAACAAGTATATAATTCACAATCATTCGTTCAATGGGTCTCTAAATTGCTTATTATTAGACAAATGGCAACAGAACGTAAAAAAGTTGATGCTGAGTGCAAATGGTTTAATGGTGCAGAAAATATTCAAATGATCAGTCTTCGCGCGTTTCTTAAAATATAACTAAAATCTGTGTGAAAAAATATGATTCATTGGCTATTCCCTCGGTTTTTAACTTTCTAAAAACATGAGCAGCCCGCCAATGACTTGCAGCCTTTAATTTTGGCCCACGAACAACAAAAGTTTGCCGACCCCTGCTTTATACAATTTAAACAGAATTACATATTTAAAGGAGAATTGTGGGTTTTATACTATTTTTGTGAAGACTTCTCATTGTCAGTGTCATTGAAATATGTTTGAGGCATGTCATTGTAGTATCATGACTAAATGTTTTGAAATTTATGTATTTTTAGATGCAAGTGCTATGTATCAATGCTGTATATGTGGAAAGTGTTTTGTCAACTTGGTTTCGTTGAGAAATCAAGGACAGATTTAACATAAAATTATACAAGTAAAACATTCATGCATATGTGTTGATTCCGCAAATGGAATCTACATGGTAGCTCAGTCAGCCGGTTTGCTGGCACCAGTTCATGTTCAGAAGCATTTGAAACTTGGTGTCAGTAGGTGTTCTAATAGTAATTGTCAAGTACCGGCAACACTCTGCACTATCATATTTGAGGCGAATAAATATGATAGGTGCAGAGAGGTAAGAGCTGTGCTTAAATTTGTTGAATGCTTGCAATGATAAATGTTGTCCCCTTGCTGTTCGTCTTGACTTCGCTACTCTTGGTTACAAAGATAGACAAATATACTTTTCCGTTTTTGAGGAAACAGCGCAGTATTTTTCAAAATTAGGTCGAATTCACGAAATTTTAAAGTGGAATTTAGCATCGAATGATGCAGAACTGTTCAAGAAAACCAGGTATGTGTGATAAATATCAGGCGTTGGGCATTTTTTTATGTCGATTTTTATTTCAGTATTCCCAGTATTTGAGTGAATTATCTCCAAACAAACAATTTCTGAGATGGATGTCCTTTCAATGAAGTATTTGATGTCTAAAAAAATACCTTTCGATCATTTGTCGAGAATGATAACGCATTTGACTGAATTACCTCCACCTGATATTTTCTGTCTTCCTGAAAATCATTGCCCTCACTGCCAAGGTGATTTGATGATATTTGAAAGGAAAAAGGCAACAGTGTACAGTCAGGGTCAGAAGTGGAATGGCGAGATTACTACTAATACAGTGATTGCAAAATTATTATCGTGAAGTTTGTTCAACTATTTTTGTACTTTGCTTGATGACTCTGGTAACAAAAGTTATGAATTTAATATTTTTTTTATCTCAGAATTACCATAATGAATAAAAAATGTGTATCATGTGGATTGATTGTTAGATTCCAAGAGTAACAAAGTGGATTCCATAACTTCAATAATAGATCTTTCATTAAAGCTATGTGTCTATTGATGAAAGGAGTGGAAGTAGGTTTTCTATTTTGTTTTATCAACTGTTATCTTAATTGCCCGTAGTCTTGCTTGTGAGTAAACCTTGTGTATAGGGTGCCATCCATTTGCCAACCTTTTCCATTTTATTACCGGTTACATACCTAAAAAATATCTAATATACTGCTGTGTGTCTTAGATGTCAGTCATGTTATTGTTCTGAAAAAAAGTTGTGATAATATGATCGTGATTATTTCTATGAATTCCCATACAAAATGATAATAAAATTATACTTATAATTAGATTGATAATTAACTGAGATAATTACTTAAATAGATACAATTTAATAGAATCCTAATCATGTAAAAGTGCCACAAATCAAATTTTATTTACATTTGTTCGTAGATGCATAACAAAAACAGAGTGAATTGCAAAAAATTCCAGATCTGATAATTTGCAACTATATTATCCACTAGAGATGTACCACACCAATTGCTTCATAATATATATTTCCAGATGCCAAATGTTTTTCGTATTCAAGGGTAATGAGAAATCTTTTTCCATTTCCAGAATCACTTATCTGTTGGTACTAGTCTAAGAACATTGTTCGATGACTTTGTGGAAAAACAACAATAAGAAATGGTTTTTATCACTTTTGTGCATTACTCGATATTGATTATGATTTCGCATGTTACAAATGTGGGTCTAATACCCAAGGTGTTGATTGGAGACGGCAATTGGAAGAACACATGTGTCCGAGAAGGTAACTCACACTCTTAATTGCACCAGGCATTGAATCACAATAGTAGATGTAACCTTTGTATTTTACATTACTATCTACCCCCTCACACTATAATAAACTTGCCACACATGTATTTTGCTATGCATTTTTGTTTGTTTATGCTATCGTGCAATGTTATGCTGTCATTTGATTCTAACAATAGGAAACCAACATACGGACATATGGTATATAGAAGCACCATTCTTTAACCTAACCATGTAAATATGATTGCATTATAACAAGTGCAATATGCATTTAAATATAAGGCACTGAATAAGGCATTAAAAATCATAGCAAAAAAATTTGGACAAATGACTAGATAAGTTTGCATTGCGAAAGTTAGAAATTTCGGCACCTTCTTAGATTTTGGCTCAATGTTATTCATTGATTATAAAACTTTGATGCTAAAAATAAATGTTATTTTAGTAAAATCTCCACAAAGTTCTATCCCCCAAGAAGATGGAGTTGACTGCCAAAGATCCTGGTCAAACTATCAAATGGAGATTCGGGGACGTGGGATTTATGGTATGATCTGTATTCGTTTTTTATACTCATGATATTATAGCAATGAACTTGTATTCAGGAATCAGGATCACAATGTAATCCATGAAAAAATAATGTTAACTGTATTTCTGGCAACTAGCATTTTCCCAGATGGTTGAGCATGACCTTTGATGTCATCAGTCTCAGGTGACTGATCATGACCAACCATCTGTGAAGGTGGTGTTTCTTATATCTGTACGTGTTACTTTGGTTATTGCTTTGGACATTTATTGCTGTTTGATTAAAACATTTATTAAATATACTTTGGATTCACTTTAACAAATGGTAGCAGAGGATGTGCAATGACTTCTCAAGGATACAAATATCCTCCTTTGTTGACGGGAGAGAAGCCACACAATCAATGGAAGAATGAGATCTCCATGTGGAGTTTAATTACAGACCTTGACAAGAAAAAGCAAACTTAGCAGTTACATTGAGCCTATGTGAAAAAGCTAGAGAAGTTGATCGAGAAATAAGCTCCGATGAATAGAACAGAGATGTTGGAATGCAAACATTACTTGTAAAATTAGATGGTGTTTTTGAAAGTGAGACTTCTGATAGAACTTATGAAACATACACCGAATTTGAAAATTTAGTAAGACTAGAAAATGAAAACATCAGAGATTACTCATCAAGATTTGACATAGTAAACACAAAAATGAGAAAATTTGGCATGGAGTTACCGGACACTGTACTGGCGTGTGGACTACTCAAAGGAACAAATCTTGCTTTAGAAGAAAAACAATTGGTTCTTGCAGCAGTGGACAAGTTAAAATATAAGTCTATGGGTTCGGCACTGAAAAGAATATTTGGTGAAGGAGCTTCGTCGTCTTCTGTAGAAGTGAAACAAGAGACGGCATATTTTTCGAAAAAAAATTGGTAAATTCCGACAAGATCATGGCAGGCGAGCATGTCCAATGAGAAAAGATCATCATATCAGTCAATGTGCTATTTGGATCTACTTATCATTGGGTAAGAAATTGTTCTAGAAATTCAAAATATTCCAGAGCAAGATGTCAGATTTGCGATTCAAGGATGCATTCTGAAAATTCCTGTCCACATCAGGAGCGAAAAGTAAATCATTTTCAGAAGAAAGCAATGTGATGTCAGTTGTTAATGACATGGATGTTTCACCAAAGATCTATGTGGATATGCAATATTAGATTCTGGGTGTACTCGCACTGTATGTGGGAAAATTTGGCTTCTTGATTATTTACAAAGAATTAAGGAATCTGAAACAGAAAAGATTCACACTGAAGATAGTGGAGGGGTTTTCAGATTTGGTGATGGTCAAAAAGTCAATTCGTTGTATTCCATAGAAATCCCGGAATACATTGGGGACACTAAAGTCACCATTTCTTGTGACGTGGTTGATGAAAATATACCATTATTATTGAGTAAAGATTCCATGAGAAGATCAAATACTGTGATTGACTTTGCAGAAACCGAGTGGAAATGTTTCATAAACCAGTTAACTCTAGAGAATAAGAAGTATACTGTGTCAGCCTTTTCGCAAACAATAAATCACCTACTCCAGGATTTTTATCACTGCAAATGAAAGCAATGAAGTTTTTTCTGAAAAGATTCTTTTAAGATTGCATCGACAATTTGGTCACGCTTCCTATAGGCGATTATCAAAACTGGTCAATAATTCAGGAAAACTCAACAAGTTATCTTCAAATATGTTGAAGAAAGTTATAGACAATTGTCAAGTTTGCAAAATTTACAAGAAACCTTCCAAAACCGGGTGTTGGGTTGCCACGTGCAACGATTTCAACGAAGTTATAGCCATGACTCCATCAGCTTGGCCCAAATTTATGGTACATGCATACTATCGACATGTTCACCAGGTTTAGTTCTGGATTCGATTATTAGTTCCAAGTCTTCATTGTCATAGCAAGGAATTTTTGTCACATTGGATAAGCATATACGGACCTCCGAGGCAGTATTCACA